GTGCTTGGCCAGGCTGGCTGGGTTTTGGCCGGATCCCCCACCGCTTCGCCGGCACGCCGAGCACAAAAGGCCCCTCAGATGTGTTTCTCACTACCTGCCGCCACGGGAAGTACCCCATTCACATCGGGGGTCCCCTGGGAGCCAAGGGAAGGGAAGCCAGGGCTCTATTGGAGGAAGCTGCATTTCCAACACCTTGCGAAAGTATCTGCAGGAGTCTTTGTTTTCCACCCACCCCTGCCCTCAAATAAAACGGGGCCGTCCCCCCGCTCATCCCCGTGCCGCTTGCAAAGCTCTGCCTTTGCTAAAACCATCCAGCTTCCACCTCTGGGGCTTGATAGGAACCGTCTGGATGGAAAGTCAACACAGCCCACGCTTTCGGGGAGGGGCAGAGGTTCCCATGTGTGCAAAGCCTTTGGCGTTACCGACTTCCTTTCTTTCTCCCGAGGAGGGGAAGGCTTCTAACACCCATTGAGGGGAGGAGAAAAGAGCTGGGGAAGAGAGCTGGCCGCCCCATAGCAGCTCCAGAAAGGTTGTTGTTGCCTCCCTCAGATGCAACGAGGCTTTAAAGCTGTGCTTGATACCAGATGGTGCCCGGAGGAAAGGTCTTCTATTGGTGTCTTTACACTGAAGTTCATGGATCTTAATCTCCCCTGGGTGCTGTGGGCTTCTTCCTGTGCCCAGACCCCAGGTTTGGCTCCATCCCATCCTGCTCGGACCATACCCTTTGAAGTCAGCTCTGCTGGAAAATGCCAGAATAACGCCAGATGCCCTTCTCCTAAGATCTCCATCTGACAGAGCACGGACCTCTTGGGGGCTGAGCTGAGAACTGTCATCTTGCCACCATCTGGTAAAGACAGAGGAGGTCTCAAGTGGGTGCCAAAATTTTTTTTCCTCTTTGGCACCTTGGTATCTTCAGCTCTGACCCACAGTGTTGCGTTGGTGCAGCACAGAGCTCGGTGCATCCCCGGTGCCAGCACCACGACCTAGCTTGAAAACTGGGATCTCTCCTTTTCAGAGAAAAGGAAATGCAAAAAAAGCACTAATGCTGAGGAGCCTGTGTTGCTTTGCCAGCTGACAGCTTAAAGAAAACGGGATTTGTTGCCAAATCCTGGGTCAGTGAGCAAAATGGATGTTTCTCCTAAATTTGGTACCCTGCTCTGGCCAGCAGGTGTTTGATTTACAGCCCTGTGGATTACAGAAGTGATTTCCACATCGTGCCGCCTCTTCTCGCTCCAGGGAAATCTGGGTGGGAGAACTGCAGCTTTTGGAGGGGCTCACCTGCTGCAGAGAAGGGCTGCTGGGTTGCTCAGAGGTGGAATGAGGAACCCAGCTTTGATTCCGCTTCTTGGAGCTTTTTTTAAGATAGAAGTGCCAGAAACCCCATCGTCACTGTGTTGTCATTATGCTTCAGAGTTATCAGCCAGGTGAGATGTGCAGGGCATCCATACAAATACTTGTACCAGGATAGAAAAAGGACAGGAAAAAACTAACTGAAAATGCTAGAGATACCTGTGTTAATGGCCCTCATCTGCACCCTGAGAAGTCAAACGGCTTTTCATTGGAGGCTGCTCCAGTCATCCAGGTGATGGGGACACAGCCTGAAGCTGCTGCACCCACCCAGGGTCCTGCCTTGCTCCTTTTCCAGCACCGTCCTGGCTCGGGGACAGGGTCGCAGCACCAGGTTTGCTTTTGGGAGGAGATTTGGAGCAGCCCAGCTCAGCTGCCATCCCTGAGGTGGAGAGGAGCTGCTTCCCCATCCACCTAGCTGCCAGCATCCCCAAACCGCTATATGAGCTGGATGTCTCCAAGAGCTTTACTTCTCCATTAAGCCCTGCTAAAATTAGCCAGGGGGTTCAGAAAGCGGTAGGCAGATGGTTGCCTGAAGCTCAGTTCCTCTGACATGTTGAAAATCAACGCTTGTTGCATTGCAGAAGGCCTGATGTTCAGTCCCAGCACCCCAGACACGTCAATGAAATAATCCGAAGCCCTGCGGAGGTGCTGGGAATCGCTCCCTGATGTCGAGAGGCTCGGGGCAGAAGCAAAGCGTGCTTCAATCCACACCAGCCTTGCTGTCCCAAAAGGAGAAGGGACCCATATGCCATTGCAGGGGGTGCATTATTTCTTCCTGGAGATGTGCAGGCAGAAATCCTGGAGGCAGTCGCTTTGGCAGCACGGGACGGCGGGAGAAGCCAAACCCAAAAGGATGCTCATCCTCCCCACGCAAGGCAGGGAGGGACCACAGTCCTTCTCGACTTCATTCTCTGACCCTCTGGCCACAGATGAACTGTAGTTTTTAAATGCTACTGCCCCTGTTTCACTGCCCTGGAGCTCCGGTATGGAAATGCTGGCTGGTGCAGAGTCAGGCGTGAAGCATCTCCCCCTGCTCCCTCCCAAAGCATCTCCCCACCGCGCTGGTGAGCTTCCAGTGCTGGAAACTCGGCTGTCCGGCCCCGGCTGCCCACCCAGAGACGCTGCCCTGCACGTCCCAGCAATTAGAGCACAAAAGAGCATCCTT